TTTTTTTGTTTTAGTATTTTGAAGTTGACCAATTGTTACTATAAGCAATTAATGATTATAGATGATCTGCACCGTATTCGAATTGTCCACAAAAAATTTTTTACTATATAATATAAATGAAAAAACTCTCTGATAAGCTATTATTAATTGAATGTTTGGAAATATAATCGCGTTTTTTTGAATTATTCGTTTTATTCAAATTATTCGTCCTATTCGTTTATTCGTTCTATTCGAATAAACTTTCATTGTAATTCGGATACTCAAATTCATAACGAATGAAACAAATAATTCAAATAAACCTTATTCGAACCATTAAAGGCGGGATATTATAATAGCAATAGTAAGTAATAGTAATAATAATTATAGTAACAATAACGATAATAGTAGTAATAATAATACTGGAAAGTTTAGTACCATCTGAAAGTTTTTTTATCAATTGGGATTTATTTAAGTTCTTAGCCGCTAAGGTTTTTCTATCGGCTAACGTCACTACTATATAACCGAAATTTATATAATTAAAAATTTTTTTTATTAAAATTATCTCCACAACAATCATTTTCATCCAAAAAACCGTAGAGTATTAGCAAATCAATATGGAATAAAGATACCTGACGAAATTTAGTCAACTGACGAGATGTTACATGACGAAAATGTATTACCGTCAAATATATAAGCTTATTATTATTGTACAAGACTTTCCATTAAAAATAAAGCTTTCTAATCATATACTTGAACAGAATGTATTTTCACCTTTGTCAAAAACGTGCCAAGAGTTCTGAAAATCAAAATTATCCATCTATTCGGTGAAATATTAAAATTTATCTTGATTGTTATCACTTTTACAATAATCTTATAATAATTAGAAAAATTTTACCTTTATTTACTTTTTAGAAAAAGTGGTTCTTTGAATCTCTTTTATTCGATTCATTAATTGAATATTTTTTTTTGCTGACTGATATCTCTCTTGCAGGAATACACTGGAATAAAAATAAGGTAATTATATACCGAATGAATAAAAAACGAATGCTATTGACGACATTGAACTTGTACCAATAGAAATGAAAGCTTTTCATTGTATTTCACCTAATTGGCTAAAAAATTTATGGTCGTGGGTGCAAATTTGCTTGTAAATCACAGGTTATTTAATACTGCCAGAGCTTCATAGTTTCTAATACTTTAAAATCAATATAATGCCTTCTCGATTGTAAAACTCTTTATGAATAAGTAATCAGAAATATACTCAAATGGAATGTCAAGAGTAGCAACCTTTACAAAAAAATAGTAGGCACAAATATATAGAAATAAACTATATAAATGATGATAATTTTTTTCCAAAAAAAATATTATAAATACAATATTATAATTCTTCACCATAACACTTGGAAATATAACTCTTCCTATATATAATATAACAATTATAAATGGTATTATTACAACTAATATTATACCACTTATAGTTGAAAATACTATTATGTGAGATGCTCTTCTCCATCATTGTTTTGTTCCAAGTTTTTAATAAGAATTAACCCATCCACAAAATTTAATCTTCGAAAATAATTGCAATTCATCAGTATTTGTATTACAAAACATTTATTGATTATGAAAATAGGTGTGGCTCAAGAAGGACAATCATTTCATATGGTGATGGGGTAGAGGTCATGCATCAGGGTCACCTTATAAAAAAATGAATGTAAGGAAAATATAAGGAACATTACATTTTTCCAATTTACCAGATGTGATTTTATTACATATGGAAATTACATATAGAAAAATGTTTTTTTGTAATTCTTCTTCATTTTTATAGGACCAGTAAAGGAATTGTATCCGTGACTGCAGAGTGTTTGTCAAATCAAGAAGCATGATGAGTTTCAGGCAAGTTTAGTGTGCTCAAATGTAATGAGCAGTTAGAATATGGAACTTGATAAGTTTGTCGTTTGCTAGTAAAGTTGTTGCGGTTGTTTTTTGATTCTTTAGAAAATTCTTTTAATATAAATTAATTTTTTGATTGTTCGATTTACAAGAATAATAAATAAAGTTTTTTAATGAATTAATCAATCATAAAATGCTTATACTTGGATTCGGATGGAGGAAACCTTCGCTAGATGAACTGGCGAGATGGTTCATTAACCCCATCATTTTTTAGAATAGGTCGCTTTTTTGACCAATGGAAACAATGCGCAGCGAAAAGCCAAGTTTATTTAAACTATTTAAACTGCAATTTTTTGAGTAATGTAATAATGAAAAGTTACACATTATTAAAAAATTTCAGATAAACTACTTTTTTCCACTATATTAATATATCCATTACTTAGATTATATAACATTTGCTACTTTTCTCTTATTTTTCTTTTTTTTTTTCATAAAAAAGTTTTACTCATATAATTGAAGTTATTCATTACTGTTATTGTTATTATTAGAACTTTTTAAATGCTCATTATTGATGTCAATACGAGTTCCTTCAATAATGCAGCTACTTCCACTTCTCCCATTTCTACTGCCACACCGAATGGTGCAACATTTTTAACCGGCAATCAATTGCAACAACAACAAAAAATAATTCCTTCTCCAATTTATACCGCAGTATCATCATCACCCGCCTCTTCAACAACAACAACTCCTGTTAGTACACCATCATCTACCACCGTAACTTCTCCACCCGTCACTAATGTTAAAAAACGCAAAAATTCCAGCGTTAGAGATGACAAGGGTGGAAAAAAGGCTAAAAAAATTCCCAATTTTAGTTTAAAGAAGCCACCAAACCCTTTCATATTTTTCACAATGACCAAAAGGTATTTATTTACTTATTTATTTGCTGTATATTGACGATGATGTATTGATGATGGCCAATTATTAATTTCTAAATATAGAATGGAGATTAGTGCTAAAAAACCGGGTATAAAAAGTACTGAAATTAATTCACTACTGGGTGAAGTGTGGAGAAATATGTCCGAGGAAGATAAAAAGGTAATTTTACATAGATAATATATATTAATACAACAATTTGTTAAATAATCCATTCACTATGTTATGCTTTATTTATTGGGTTAGCCCTACCTCCAAATGAGGGATACGGCATTGGAACAGTACGAAAAGGATTTGGCGGTATGCATTTTATTACTATCTATCTACATTTAAAATATTCAAATAAAGATATTGCAATCTCTCATATTTTCTTGATTTATATTAGGCTCAACAACAACAGCAGAAATCGCCACTTTCACCACCACCATCATCACAACACCAGCAGCATTCGCCATCACGACCACTACCACGATCACCACATCATCATCAACAACAGCAGCAAGTATATAAGTTTGTAGATTTAGAGAACGACGTAATGTACCAAGAGGCTGTCAAAATTGCTAGAAAAATTTTAGACGGTTTAGAAACCGATCTAAATGATCGTTGGTATGAATATGAATTACCAACATCGCTAAATAATCTTGTAGAAATCAATTATTCAAGCACAAATACAAATCCATCCCTATTTTTAAAATGATACGGTGATCAGACTGTTGGGTATTTTTCATGATTACTTATTGGAGATATTAATGATGAGTTTATGGATGAAGCTTGAATAACCATTTGTTTATAATATCACAATTATAGTATTGCTGCAATTATAAAACTCTCCCTCTTCTTATAATTATAATTAGTATTTTTAAACCCGTCCCACTCATATCATATACCTGAAGTACTGAAGTAGTATGAGAAGGGAAAACCAAAAAAATCAAAAAAAGAGTTCATATATGTCATCCAGGTAGATTTCAATAATTTTCAAATATGGCAGAAAGTTAAACAGTTGAATGAATGCATTAAACGTCAGACCTATCCACCAAAAACTTCATTTATCAAAGAACAAAACGAAGATGAAATTTTCGGATGGAGAGATTGAAAGAATTAAATTTGAAACTCTATGATGATTACCATTATACTGTTGTTCACTCTACAATAAAAATATTTTTATTTTTAATAGAAAATTTTCATAGTTTTACAAATCTATCCTTTTGTCAGAGTTCAATGTAAAGATGGACAGCAAATCCAAATTTGTTATCCCTGTTCTTCTTGATATATTTTACAAGTAATCCTTTCTTAAGTATTATTGAATAGTGATATTAAATTAATAACATAAGGAGCAATGTTTCACCTCGCTATTGCTTAGAATTCTTCTAATAGTGGCGTAATTCGATAATAGGAGATAATCTTATATTTATCTGTGTAAGGAAAGAGTGTTTTTTTAAATATAACCAAAAAAAGAAAATAAAAATTTTAATTGAAAAGGTTCTATTGCTTGGAATTCTTTTATACTTACAAAATTTGAAGTGATTATATTATTCCGAGGATCAAACAACAAATATTTTTGTCTTAATTAGTATTAAATTTAAGTTTAGAAAAACTGATTTAGTGAAAACAAATTACTCAACTTTCTCAATCCTAATAATTAATTTTCTTGACCAAGCAATAATAACCGTGAACTTTCTCTCATTCCATGTTTGTAATAAATTTTGTTGATTAATTTAGATGCTAGTAAATGTCAGAAGTTAAACTCGATTGTAACACGCTACTTTGCAAGGTTCTCTCATTTTGCCCAATCCGAATTGAGGTTAACAAATCCCAAGCTTTAACACCTTTATTATTTCCAATTAAGGGTTAAATATATGGCAAACAGCAAATCAAAGACCCAAAGAGAGAAAGTAAAATGTTACTAAACAAGTTTGGACGTAAGCTCGAAGCGGCAATGGCCAATCAATAGAACGGAAGCAATCAATGCAAAGAGGTGAAATGATTAATGAATGAGGGAATAATATATATTATACTCTGGAAAGAGTATAATAAATGGCATTCAGAAAAATCTTAAAGAACATTTTAGAAATTTTGAATATTTTGGATAATGACATTGACTTGAGTGATTGCCTTAAATTATATGATTAAGTATAAATCCTAATTTCAGCCGAGTTTTGCAATTAATTATGCTAAAATAAAATCTCTGAACCTAACAAAATGTCCAAAATTGGACAAAAATTGATGCGAGTAACAATACAGAGTTGAGTGAGTACTTATTGAGTAAAAAGATTGACGAAAGATTTGAAAATTTTATCTCTCAAAGTTTCCCTTTAAACGATTTTGTATCTTGCTGTTGCTTTATTATTTGTGAAAGAAATGTAAGGTGATTATTGATGTACTACGGAATTTAAAATGACTGCATTGACACGATCCATTGAGAATCATTTCCATATCTGACGTCTTTTCAACAATAACACACTAGACTATTGTTTTTAGTGCAACGATCTTTTTGTTGAGCGTAGTTTTTTAGCTTTTTTTAAGCCCATTGTTTATCAAGTGTTTAACAAACTTTAATTTTTTTAAAGTATAGATCATACAAATTATGAATGCAATGTCATCATACAAATACATATTAGTATTTCTTAGAATCAAATCTTATCTTTAAAAAAATAAAAAAATAAAAAAAAAAAAATTTTCCGTAATTATGAAACAGCATAAAAGCCTTTGTAAATTCAAATAATTTTGTTCTAATAATAATAAAATTAATTTTGTCGCTTAACGAAATTAATTAGTCATTTCTTCAATAATATAAATATTCTTCCTCAAAATAAAAAAATCATCCTAAATTGCCACTGGTCTAATGTATTATTATAATATTATAAAAAACAATTAAATAATAAAATAATAACAATAAATAATGCAAATTGAAAAAAGTAATGAATCGGAAATAGACCTTATCTCATTAAATTCGAAAAAGACCAGTGGCAATAAAGAAATCGACAATGTGATTTCGTTATCACAATCTCAATCATCATCATATGATGGAAAATATTTAGAATTAATAGAGGAATGTGATGTAAAAATCACTAATTTTTTGTGTAAGGGTGGCAATGGTTCGATATATGAAGGAGTGTGGGGGCCAGGAAGGCGTTGCATAAAGGATAATATAAAATATCGCGAAGCAAATACTGCGGTTATTTTAAAACAAATTAACAAGAAAAACAAAGACAAGAAAATAAAATTGTTTATAAAAGAAGTAAGTTCTCACAATCTCATTCATTTTATAATTTTTTTAGAAACTAATTATGATAATTAATTAATTATTTTCTTCGTTTTTACTATTTAGTTGGAAAACCATAGTAAGCTTTTGAATAGCGACAAAATTATAACAATTTACGGCGTAGCAATAATTAAAAATGAATTTACACTCGTAATGGAATATGCACAAAACGGAAGTTTGCAAAATTTTTTGAAAAATAATTACCATAAACTCATTTGGAAGCAAAAAATTTCCATTATATGCGACATCGCAGAAGCTCTTGAACAGATAAATAATCTAAAATATATTCACGGCGATCTACATAGTGGAAATGTATTAATAAGCGACAACCAAACTGCAAAAATATCCGACTTTGGCTCATCAAGCGCATACAATGACCAACAATCACGAGAAAATCTCAGTTGTACAATTCCCTACACAGCACCTGAAGTATTCATGACAGGTTACTATTCTGAAAATTGTGACACTTACAGTTTGGGGGTTATAATGTCAGAAATTTCTAGTGGCCAACAACCATTTCCAAACGAGAATCATGATCGTCAGCTTGCTTTGGACATTTGTTTAAATAATAAAAGACCAGTATTTGCTAATAATACGCCAAAATTTATAATAGAAATGGCATCTAAATGCATGGATGGTGCCGCTTCCAAAAGGCCAACAATAAAAGAAATACGAGAGAAACTCTATCTTTATAAATGTTGTTTCGACGAATCAAGTATTTTAAACATAAATGGGGATTTTACGAATGAAGAAGTTGAAAGCATGAAAAAATTTAAAGTAGAATTCGAAGAAAAAGACAAAAAGACATTTCTTAATAATAAAATTAATAATAATTATAAATCATCATGCTTATTAAATCCAATGGCTGGTAATTATTATTATTAATATTAATTAATCAATTAGCAATCTTTATTTTAGATTTTAATATTAAATTTGATTTTCTTTGACAATCAAGCGTGGGATTCGAACCAAATCGGATTAACGATACCATCGAAATTACATCCTAGAAGTAACCCCAAGACAACATTTCCACTATTGCACTAAAAACAGTTCCAATAATATTATTAAACGGCGACAGTATCACATCAAATGGTAATAGTGTTCAACAACAACAACGACAACCATCATCATCATCATCATCACCATCATCATCACCATCATCATCACCATCGTATTAACGACCGCTTTAATAGTCGGGATAGTTAAATTTAGGCTGATTATTTAAATATAGACAAATGTCTTATCAGTGAATTTTCTCTCTCTCTAATTTTTTACAAATTGAACGAGAGAAAATTTTTTGATATGACATTTGTCTACGTTCAAATAACCAGGGTAAATTTGTTTAATTTCTCTATAGCTTATAGTTTTACTCGGTCTAAATGCTACCTAAACTTGCACAAATTTCAATTTTCAAAAAAATAGCCTCGTTAGTTATTTTTTTGAAATTTGAAATTGGTACAAAATAGATGGTATTTAAAGTGTGTCATACTATTAACTATATGTAGAAATTAAATTTATTATCCTTTTAAACTCATTCAATTTAATTTATTTAAACATTAAGATATTTGCGTTGTTTTCTTCTTATTATTCTATTCTATTCTATTCTATTCTATTCTATTCTATTCTATTCTATTCTATTTATTTTATTTTATTTTATTTTATTTTATTTTATTTTATTTTATTTTTTTTTATTTTTATTTTAAAATTTAAATCTATCTTATCATATACTTATCCATATTTATTTATTTATTTTTATTTGTTTACTAAAATTACAGAAATATTAAAAAAAAAACCGAGTCGAACTTTGACTTTGTAAAAAACTTTTTCTGAAATAATAAATAAATAAAACTTTTCAGATTAACTATTACTTTACCAATAATTAGTGTCAGTTGGTTATCCCCAAACCCTTATTCAATAGGGAGTTTAGAAATTAAAAATACTGAATAATTTAACCAAAAACTATATCATGTGATTTCCATTTTTGGAAATGCCTTAAAAAATTAAACATTTCATTTTTAAAAAACTACGCATTAGCGTTGGTCGTCAAAACTAAATCAAAAGTCAGGACTTATGTTATAGTTTTGGAAACTAATACTATCACGCACCAATATGGGTCTTTAGATCGATCGTATTGTTTCAAACAATGAATTCGCGTTCACATTTTTTTATTAATATTTTTGAACCATGTCTTTGTACCGTAAAGTCTGGAAAGATAGCACCCCCTACTTTAAAACAATTGAGCGTCAATATAAAAAAAATGTTACACATATGTAAAAAGGGGATGCTATCTTTCCAGACTTTACGGTAATATTTGCATGATGATAAATAATATTGAACTTTTGCCTTCGTAATCTGTTAAAATCGTTGATTTCTTTGATGATGGTTTATAAAGTTTTTGCTATAGCATAAATGACAACGTCTGACTAGAGGCAAATGACAACTTTATTTCTTTCTCCGTGATAGTTGTTTAGTGACGAACCTAGGATTTTAAGCCATAACCCCCGGAAAAAGATCCAATAAATCTCCAATATATGCTATTACAACTTACACATTCTAAGTACTTTAATAAGTAAGCATCTTGTAATTTGAAAGTTCTTTACTTCAATTCCGAATTTGAGTCAACGTGCATGTTCTAAATAAACTCGCGAATTGTTACCGTCATTTTCAAGTTTACTAGTGATAAACAATAAGAAATATTCCTTGTTGATTTTTAGATTATACAACTGTTTCAATTCAGATAAACAATTGTGGATTGGATGGTAAACAAAGGATATTATCAACGATCGTTGATAATTATTTGTGTTGCAAGAGAGAAACCTGTAGATAGAAAAATTATTGTTATTATAATTTATTTGAATTGTGCTTGTCTCAAATAAATTCTAAATCAAGGCTACGCCTTTGCATTTGTAATTATGTTATTTAAAATAAAAGAAAATACATTCATCCTACAAATTACACCAAGTTGTAAGTATTCCATTCTCAAATACTAATAACTTGAAGGAAATAGGTGACATGGCTTATAGAAGGAGTTAATGATCTGAAATCATGCGATGTTCCACCAGAAGTTAAAGATTTGATGGTTCGGCAAATCTTTTATCATTTTATTATTGATAAAGAAATTTAATCAAATTTATTTCCATAAAATTAAATAACTGATAATCATATTGATTACAATAAATAAATAAAATAATCTTATTTTACAATTGTGGTCAAATAAGAAAAAGGAGTCTAAATTTTGGGATCATTTCAAGAATCAATATGAAGTGGTTATTATTCTATGTTGATGCGGAATTACGGTTTTACTGCGTACCGTAATGCCAAATTGCCGTAATTCAGGGATTTCGACGGCAAGTATGCTACCAACTGATATCATTTAACCATTTGACAAATATATAATGCAATAATCAACAATAATAATTAATACACTGAAAAAGGATTTATTACCCAAATAGCTGTAATACATATTATTTATTCAACACCAAGTGAAGTGATAAACGAAAATTTTTTCTGGACCAAGCATTTTGGGTTTTGATGATAAAATTTTGTTGAATAATTATGGTAGGCGTTTTGTTTTTTCCATTTGACTTGTTGATTGAAATCAATTTTTTATTCGATGGAAGCAACAACTGTTGCTATAGATCACGTAATTACTGATAAAATATTAGGAGAAGAGTGCTGGTTGCGCTAATATAACACCTTATTAAATAAATGAATCGAAGGTGAGTATTTTTATTTTTATTACTTTATATACTGTATATCAACAACATTTGAATTAAAAAAAAGGATAGATGGGCTTTGAAAGACAACCAAAAATATGGAGAAAACGAGTGACTAGAAGAATAAAATTTTACCTGAGGATTATTTTTTGGCAGTTAATGTAAATAAATCAGATTGAATGACAGCAAAGGAAACTTCAAATTTGGTGTATGAAGGTGAAATTGGTTCTGAGGATGACCTGAAACAACAACAATAGAAAATTGGATCAAACGATATGCAGCCAGTTTAAAACAATCATCGGTACAGAGAGAAGGCAAAAGAATTATCTAGCAAAGAAAGGTAAACAATATTTAGAGATGAACATTTGAAAAAACATTAAATAATACATTTATTGTTTTCGCATTACTGCTCAATCTCTTGCAAGTTCATTCGAATTAAAAAATAAATCCCTTCGTTTCATTTATGTTTCTATACTCTGGTGTCTTATTTCTTTCTTCAATTTAAACATGTTATTTTGAAATTTTTTTCTTGTTGTCTATTTAATTACAGTTACCAGTTTACATTTTCTAATTAATTGGTCATTTATCTACAATGATCACTTTTTCCAACTTTTCTAGACTTTATCATGCAAAATCTTAATCCTTTATCAATCACTGTTTGGACTTTCCTTCCTTCTCACGTTATTGCATCTGTTCTTTCGTCAAGTATTTTATTATCCTTTTGGTATTCATGTAATAATAATATTATTATTAAGTTTGGTCAGTATTGGTGATAAATGTTTAAAAAAATTAAAAATGTTAAACTTTTGATACTCAATCTCCATGTCCAACATATAAAAGTTTCCAAGAAACACCTTAAAGCAATAAAAAGAATGTCTTTTTGCTCCACCGATCTCACTCAAATAGAAATATCTTTTCTTTGAGAATATCTATCCAATACAATTGGTTTTTCCATTCATTTGGTTCAATAACTATATTTACAAAACATATACTTTTTGATTCTAAATTTTTCAGCTCTAGAATAATTTTCAAATTCAAACCTTACATGCATATAAAACCTTTCAAAATAAACATATTATTATTGTTATTATATTTAATAAAAATAAAATTAAATAGATAATAATAAATTTATTCATGTTTGAGTATAGGATTGCATCACTTAATGAATTGCTAAAAAATATACAATGAGCTGATACGTAGATGCATGTGTATGGACTTCTTAATGTTTGGTTTTATTTCTCAAAAAATTAAATTTTATAATGGATTTTTATTAACATGTGATTGGTCATTCAAAAAATGAATTCATTACTTGAAAAATATTTTAATGAAAATGAGAGGTTGCTAAATACTGAAAATTTTTATGATGTAAAAATATGTATTGGTGTAGAATCTAACATTAAAGAAGTTCATGCGCATGCACCTATCATATCAGCTCATTGCCCATTTTTTAACAATGCATTAAGTAATGCAACAAAAGAAAATGGATATTGTATTATTAAAAAAGCTAATATCAATGAAAAAATTTTCAAACCTATTCTCAAGTAAGTTTAAATAAATTTATTATTGTATTAAATTATAATAATAATAACCTGTTTAGTAATTTATTTATTTTGTAAGATTTTTATATACATGTAAAATTGAATTTGAAAATTATTCTGGTGCTGAAGTATTGGAACTATTAACTGCAGCAGATGAATTTGGTATTGAGTTGCTTTATGAATATGTGATGAAATATTTTATTGAAAATTTGTAAATATAGTAATAAATTATTTGAATCAAGTGAATTTAAATCATTGGAAAAACCAATTCTATTGGAAATTCTCAAAAGAGATGATTTTTCTGCTGATGAGATAGTTATTTGGGAAGGCATTCTTAAGTGGGGATTGGCCAAACATCCAAAAATCATTAATATCAATGTTGAAGATTGGCCAATACAAAATTTTGTTGATTTAGGCAATACATTAAAAGAATTTTTTCCTCTAATAAGATTTCAGGGTATTTCTAAAGATGATTTTGATTTTAAAATTACTCCATATCATAAACTTTTTCCTATGACTTTACGGGATTCCCTTTTACAACATTATTTATTTCCTGATAGAAAACAAACATTGAATTTATTACCACCAAGGTTGAACTTATTGACAATTAATCAAAATCTTATTTTGCTTTTTGCAAGTTGGATTGATAGAAAAAGTCCCCCATATGTCTCATTCAGGGAAGTCAAATATGAATTCAAACTTACATATCGTAGTAGCAGAGATGGTTTAAATGCAGCTATATTTCATCAAAAATGTGATAATATCAACAAAACTCTTTCAGTTGGCAGAATACAAAATTCAGAACAAATAGTTAGTGGTTATAACCCACTTGATTGGAATGGATATGGTCATAAAAATACGACTGAAAGTTTTATTTTTAATATTAATAATAGAAATGATATTAATACTGCACAATTTAGGTATGTTAATGATAGTTATAGGAAGTATGCAATTTGGTGTGATCCTTCTTATTTGCCTCATTTTGGTTATAATTGCGATGTTTGGTTTAATATAAATGGTAGTGTTGGTAGTAGCCCAGTGACTTATAGTAACTCTATCAATATAGCATATGGTAGATTTGATGAATTGGAAGTTTTTCAAATAATTGATAAAAAATAAACAGTGTTAAATTATTAAGCATTATATTTTTTTCTATAATTAGTTTATTTACTGATAATAAATATATAACCAGATTTAATTAATTGAATAAATTATCATTACATAGTTAAAAAGAAAGTTAGACATAATTTTGGGTATTCCTTTTTTTTTTGTGATTTAATTATGTGATCGGCTATTTCTTATACCAAAATAATTTTTTTAATGAGAGGTTGTGCACATACATCTAACATATCAGCTCATTGTCTGTTTTTAATAATGCATTAAGTGATGCAACAAAAGAAAATGATATTACTTTTCTGTTGATGAGATAGTTATTTGGGAAAGCATTCTTAAATGGAAATTAACAAAAACATCCAAAAATCAGTAATATCAATGTTGGAGATTGATCATCACAAAATTTTGTTGATTTAGACAACAAATTAAAAGAATCTATTTCACTGATAAATATTTCTAATGAGAAATCCTGTATATCTTGCTTGCCATTCTTGCATGTCACACATTTCTTTAAAATATGGGATCAGTGCTTTGATCCAGGATTAACAAATTGACTGGTCCATTGCCATTAATAAAATATTAAATATGGTTATTATTACACTAATGGACCCAATAAATCACCAATAGACCATAAATGGACAGCACATTTGCCAACCCTGCTTTGATCCCATATATTGGTAAAATACTAAATAGTTTTTTATTTGTGAGGTTCCTAATTTCTTGGATTTCATTGAGATCTGCTAAAAAAAGCAATTGCTTATTAGGTATTAAAATATGTACATGTACTATATTTATGTATATGTATTTATATATGTACATACCTGATTTCATTGCTGAAATCGTGGCTGCTAAGCCTGCAGCTTTGCTCAAATTTGAAAATATTTCGTTCCCTTTATTTGTCCAAATAATATTATTATTAATTTTAATTTTTTAAGTGATTTCAATATAAAGAAAAATTACTAACCACGTGTTTTAAAATAAGCATTATCAAGCAAGAATGGTTTTATTAAATGATACTATGGTGACGACAAGTGGCGATAACCACCACCACCATTCTTTTAATAATCACTTATTATTTTTTCCTTATTATTTTGTTTATTTTTTCTTGACTTAGTTTTCTTTTTTCTTTTGGCATTGTTTTTTTTTAAAAAAAATTATTATTTGATCAGCAAACGTAATAATTTATTTTTTTTTGTTGACACGAATTGATTTTTCTTTTTTATATTTGTATTGATAACTTTGATTTATAAATATTATATATCAAAATGCGGAGTAGAACTTGCTGGGTAACTATAAGATACTTATGAAGATTATGTAATTTGCTTTTTCATAATCAATATTAATAATGACATTAATATTAAATAATATTAAATAATTAAAGGCAGCAAATGTTGAAAAAAAGACATTTCGATATGCGATGTTTGATCATCAGAAATTTGCAGGTGTTGAAGCACGCACACTACCTTGGATACTTTACAGTCATTCTCACATCTTCCTCATGTACACAGGTTAATCCCCCGATGATACGGTGATGCAACCGAATACCAGTGGGTCGCTTTGCCCTGGAGTTTACCGAGACTGCATCCCAGACCAGAGAAGGCTGCTGGCATGCTAGCCAAAAAGTTGCCTGTAACGATCCTATCTACTGCCTAAGAAGAATTTCTTGTATCAACTCGAAACTGCACTTTCTTTAACAGTTTTCTTTGAAGAGTCACAATGCTTGCTTCTGCCATAAGAAGTTTTCATCCCAGAAGAAGCTTGAGTGTTAATATGAAAGGTTTCAGAGCCTCTGGAGAGCTTGATTCTAAATAAGGTTTTATAGGGTAAGTTTTAAAAAGTTTTTTTGAGTCCGTTTTTTGAAATTTGAATTTCATGTGCGCGTGGAATTAAAAATTAGCTAATCAGAAATTTTTAACTTTTGAAAAAAAAGAGTTGTTGGATATTTTTCCTTAGTATTAGAAATTTTTTAGCATTCAGGAGAAAATTTCCATTATTTATTCAGATCCTATTTCCAGCCCTGCTCACTACAGTTAATAGGCAAAAAAATTATTTGTTGAAAAGCTGGTGATATGATATTCATTTGGTTTGAATGTTTAATGCTATAAGTTTTTGCTTTTTTTTTCAATGAATTTATGGCTTTCAATTTATTATAATCCATTGTAAATTATTTTGTTAAAGAAATTAAATACAGTTTCAAAAGCCTCTATATAGATTCATTTATTGAAATATTAGATATAGTTAAACCGCACCTTCCTCTTAAATTAGTACAAAAGAATAAGAATATCTTCATCAGTCGGCCTTTCATTAACTTTGTCATCAACCTCATTCACTGATACGCTCATATCTTTGTGCTAAATATATATTTTCTGGTTGGGCCTGATTTGTTTTAATAAACCTAATTCACATTTTCGTAGTAATATAACATATACACATTTTTTGGAAGAAAAAGATAGCAGAGCAGTGGTGGCTGAGACTTTTTGACAGAGAGATTATTAATCGTGTAGAATTGGAAGAATAATAATTTTAATTATGTGGAATTGGTGGAATTTATTTTTTAATTAATAGTTTTAATTGATTTTTGTAGCATTAATGATTTTCGAAAAAAAATTTATTTATAGAACCTTTATTTACAGTACATAGTATTTAATTTGTTGCTCCGTTGCAATGCAAATAGTACTACTACAGTCAAAGCTCCCTATAACGAACCTCCGAGAAGTGAACTGCTCTCTATAACGAACTAAGATTTTTGTCCCGATTTTTTATTAATGAAATTTGCTCTATATAACGAACTTTATAGTTAAACTCTTTATTCCGTATAACGAACTGTCTTTGGGGGAACCAAATACAAATTTATATAATAAATAATGCTCTCTATAACGAACCCGTGCAACATAAACTTGTTTATTATTGAAAAAAAAAATTTAAAAAATTTATTCTTCTTCTTTTTACAATTATTATTTGTTATTGTTGTTATTATTGACAGAGAAAAGACTGGCCAACAAATTATATGTTTTCTAATTGATTATCTACACATACACATCACTTTTGTCAAATAAAATGAAGAATTCTTTCAACATTGTTTCCTAATAATAATAGTGATAATAATGATACTAATAATAATATGCCTGAAATAATTCTTTCTACTTCACCTGTATTACATAAAAATGCTTTGTTGTCGATAGAAAAAATCAAAAATTATACTTTTAACAACAAACAGACAAGTCACAATTAACTGATAATGAATTGAGATTAATAAAAGGAAAGTCAAAAATATATTTAATTCAAAAGAACGATTAAAAATTGATAATTATGTGAATAAAATTTAATTTTTCTATTTTATTTTCAAAAAGGATTGTTTTTTTATTTTTATTTTTAACGATGTAGTTGTATTATTATGTTTATTAAATTTATATTATCAATTACATTTATAAAATAACAGATAAAAAACATAAACAAATAATTACCCCCCATATCTGATTTATATCAGATTGGTTGGGCCGACTATTCACCTCCCTTTCTTTCCATGTGGCTGTTAGTCCATAATGGAATTTAACATTTAATATAAAGTAACCACACTTCCAAACAGAAAAGGGTTTGATGTGTATCATTTCATTTAGGTAATTCCTGGCAAAATTGACACAGATCACGTGATATGGAACGTTTATTAAATGTTTATATAGAACATGCTCTTTTTCCAATTTATGCTCTCGCACTCTTTTAATTGTCTTTTTATATTTGGATGGGTAAGTCATTTTTACAGTTTTCTTTAAGTTTAGGAACAAGTTTTTAAAAAATAAAATATTTAAGTTGGTCATGTGATTTTTATTTTTTGATTTCGGGGTGTGGCGCAGCAATTGGATGTTTTATATGTATCAAATCCTTTAAACAATTGATTGAGCAGACCGACTTATATTAAATAATAATATTATTATGATCTTTCTTTTTTTTTTTTGTTTTATAAATCTCATGTTTTGATAAGTCAAAACACCCAGCCACTCATGTACGGCTTATCAACTTCACCTGCGTAAGGGTTTCACTTCAACAATAACGAATGATCAAACAAGTTCTGTTGATAAAGAAATATTATTATATTGTGTGCATCACTTAACTTTTTTAACATTAAAAGCTTTGTAAAGACTTATAATGTTATTAATTGCTATGCCCTATAAAAAACTTTTACAGAGAAGAGTATATTTCCCGTATTATATATAATTAATATTAATATTAGTATGTTTTGTTGTTTTGTATGAAACATATGGAAAACATATTAATATGGAAAACACAAGTTCTATTACTATATTGATTTTTCGTATGTTTTTCATATTTTTTCTGTATTTAACACACCATTTCTCGATATTGAAAACATACTGAATTACTTGTCCATCACGAATTTACAACCTTCCTTTTTGACCTCCAACATAATGAAACAATTGTTATTTATTTTTATGAAATTTTAAGAAATCAATCAATCTGATCCTTCCACACCTTGTCATTCAAGTGGTAGCGGTGAAAAGCTTCAGTGGTTGGTCCTCTGAGTTTTACATCCTGATTGTGTGCAACTGCAAGCTTGTAGAATAATTTCCAAAAAATATTAATTCGATATATTGAACTTAGGTGTCAGGTTCAATAGAGCTATCCGTTCATATTCTTATACCAATTGACAGATTGACAATTACGGTCGATTTGAATTATATCAACAGGATTAGTTGTACATCCAATTGAGGACTTGTGAATTCTGTTAGAGCTGTGGGCGCCACAATGGATAAATTATCGTTCTAATACCGTAATTTTTCTGTACCAAAATTTTTCTAAATGTGGCAATTTACATATTGGACTCCAATTAGCGTATATAGTAAAAAAAAAGTAGCAATTGGTTCGGTTGGACTCTGTTGTATAGTGGGGCTCACAATTACATATCCAATAAAAATAGCCTTTTCAAAAAGGGTTATTCAACAAGATAGGAAAGAGATTTGAAAAAATCAAATCATCATTTTAAATAAACTATCTACTGACGATTGTGATTTAATTTGCTATGTATATCCCAAGTGCAGTATATTTCTGAATATATGATAAATGTCAAAGCTTATATATTTAAAACATGGATCCTTTATATAGGGTAGCTTGAGTATAAACCTCAGGCCACTAAGGTGTAAACCAAGTGCTTGCTTTGATGATATTCCCAAGTTACACATACCAAAAAAAAAAGGAAGATATTTTTTTTTACTTGAGAGTGAACCTCAAACTTTTGTCCTTGTCGGATGACCATAAATAGTAGCCTAATTTGGAAATTACTTTACTTAATTTAGAAATATCATCAGTTTTTAAAAATTGAGTATTTAATTGTGACAAACTGGAGTTGGTGAATCATGAAGAAAATTCCATTCTGAAATTATGCTGCTTCAATTGAAGACAAGAAAGTGAAATAAGTAATGGCGAATCTTTTATAAAAGACATTAGAAACGAAAACCAGATTCAATGGAATACAAGCAATGTGTCGGTGAACGGAAATACTGATGATTGAGTAATTAGAAGAAGGGGAGGAGGAGGAATTAAGTGAATTAGTAGGTTAATTGAAAATTGATGATTTATTATAAACATTATAATGTTTAAAAATATAAAATATTTTATTTGTAATCGTGAATGCTGAAATATCATTGGCTATTCAATTTATTTATTGGGCTGGACCGTTTGGGCCTCAATTTCCAACGCTGTATGTAATAAACTTTCTTCTAAAGAATAATTTCTTTCGATAGTTGTCTCATTGCTTTATTTTGTTTATTTAGGCATGTCTTGAAGTTTGAATCAACTTATTATCATGTAGTTATCCACAAAAAATATCCGCAATCGTCAAATCGATTTATAAATAAGGATTCCGAGGTTTCACGAAATTTGCGGATATTTTTTGCGGATAACTAACTACACAATTATTATCCATAATTCCGAAAAAGTTTACCGGAAAATTGCAGGAATTTTTTAATATTAATATGAAGTATAATAATAAGCAACACTTTCCCTTTCCGGATTGCATTATTGTTATTATTGTTATTATTATTATGGATAAATTAAAATAAATCATCGGAATAATAATAGTAAATGATTTTTTTAAACATGAAATCTTTCATTTTATGCATAGTTACTTTCTACTAACCAAAAATAGTTGTGAAAATTATCCTAAATAATACTAGTTTATTATTTAAACAAACATTGAGATGGGGCGAGCGAGGTACATAAGAAAATTTCATAATATTGACATTAATTACTAATTTTGTCATAACGGATTTTATGTGGATATGAATATGATAATGATAATGAAGCAAAAATTTTAAATCCGTTATAATGCGAATGACCCGCTGTAGAAATGTTCGAGTGTAAAACCCAAGTTCTTTGTTATTATTATGTAAGCGAACGCTTCGGGTTAAACCGAGAAATGGCCTTACATTACACGAGATCGTCATATATTGACTTTAAATGGTAATAAATTATATGTTACAATAAAAACTTTTTGGTGTAATTAAAAATTAAAATAAACACATGTAAACGTAAACTCGATAAGTCGGACACAGCAATCAATTACTCAAAGTAACTGACTTATCACGTTTACATTTGTATCAAAATTCTGGGTGAAGTGCTTGGATACAAAATTCTGATTGACTAATGATAATAAGTTTTGCAATGGAAGAATGCATTCAATTAATTAAAGCACAAAATAAATTAAAAGTCTGATTGTTGCTTCACCAATTTATAATTTAATTGTGTTAATTATTGATTATAAAACCACTGAATAAATTAATTTGGATCTTTAACACCAACATTCCCAAAGTTCAAAGATCCTATCATTAATTGATAATCACAAAAGGTCCACTTGATCAAAAATCAAAATATTTAAAATCTACTACTTCACTTCCAAATCTTGAAACTGTTTTCATACTATCGTCCAGCTGGCCATTTCTATTAGGCGCTGTGCATTTCGTTAAAATAAATCTCAAAGTTCTAGATGTTGGTTGTAGACCAAATGATAGAATATATTTGATCCGATCAATCAATTGGCCAATATTTCCAATATATAATATGGAATACTGACCAGACAAAATGAATGTGATTACTATTATGATTTAATAATTTTATAATCTTCCATATGCACCCAAAATCTAAGGATCAATGTCTCAAAACATGATGTTCAAACTTTTAACAGGGGAATCTAGAGGGTTTGGTGTATACATGTAGCCCAAATTGATTTATGAATGTCATAATATTACAACATCTGAGTGATAGCCGCAATTAAAAGCCGTAATGTCGTAATTAGGCCATAATATTGTAATTAGGTCATAATGTCAACAAATGAAACATATCTCTATTATAAAGCAACGAATGCTTTAGTGAAATTCCTTTAACTTTTCTTTGGTCAGCCGTACGTCTGCAAAATACTTTAACACAATACAACAAAATGGTATGCATAAATACTTTGATTAATAAATATCAGCATTTTCTATCTGGCCGAACAATCTTAACACCTTACACAAAAACATTTAAAAATGTTTGCGCTTAACAAAAACCAAAAATTAAACCTTTGCTTTCTGCCAAAGCAAGTAACCAAAACCGAGTTACAAAATCTCAGAGTTCTATAAGAATCTATATTACGAATAGAAACTCTAGTTCTATATCACTCTGATAATCAATAAACAATTAGACCTGCTGTTTAAATAATTAATTTGTAAAAATGTTTGTCGCAAAATGAATTAATTAACAATTTTCTGCCTCTACTCTTGTGAGCAAAGCTCTGAAATGTCAATTAATTAGTTGACTAGTTACTAACTAATAGTAGATAATAGTCATTAGTAATTTCCACTTGGTCAAAAAGCTATGATAATTTTTATGTTAATATTAATCCAAGTGCTAGAACTTCTTGTACAACCATACTAATCAAATAACAGATAATAATTCTAAAAAAAAAAAGTAAAGGAGGAAAAAAATAAGCAAAGCAATTAACCATAATAACAAAATTATTCGTGAGTAAGTATAGTTAATTATTAAAAAAATGGTGGTTATCGTCACTTGTCGTCACTCTAGTTAACATTATAAAAGCAATCATGTTTTGTAGCTATGTGCAAGAATTCAGAAAAACATTAATTTACATCCATTTTAAATCCTTGATGTAATTCTAGTATTAGTTCTGTTGAGGAGACCGGTAGAGTAATTGTTGAAGCCGATGATGTTGACTATTCCGATGATAATGAGTCCAATAATGCAATGATAGTGAGCCCCGATGATAATGATGGAATCAATGATGGTAATGCTGATGGTAGCAGATCTGATGTGAATTAGTTTCATATTTGTTATAATGCAATTGTGATGTTAAAAAATTTTACATCCTGAAATTATTTATAGTACAAAGGTTCAGCATGTTCCATATTATCTAGATTATACATGTTGTCAAAATTAGTTTGGCTTTGACTCAAGCTCCAAAATCTCAATTTTTAATTGCATCTGAATCAATTATTTATATGTTTTTTATATTAATATGACATGTCAAAAATTTACCTGATTGAGTCAAGTTTATAATAATAATTTGATGTTGGGAATAGTAAATATTTTGGTACTTGCTTTCAGAATAGATTGGACTTTTTCATGAAATTGGAATATTGATATTGTGCTATTTTCTATTACCAATAATACAAGAACATAATGTTTAAAAAGGATCCGTCATCTTATGAATGTTGAAGTTTATAATTAAAACTTTGAGGTGGGTATTAGGATATAAATTTCTGATTGGCTGACGCATAAATATGCAGTTATTATTGAGTTAAACGGGTTAATCTTTATTTAATACACAAAGCGTGTTTTTTTGTTCTTCAAATATGAAATTTGCGAAAGCGAATTATTATTTTTCTGCGACGGGTTTCTGTTTTTCAAAGTTTGCACATGTGGATATTAGTAAAACTGCATATATCTTTCCACCGACTTGAGTACGCCACATATACAAATTTGTTAATTATAATAATTTCCAAATTTGGTCAGCACACGCCCAATCATCATAGGCTCATCCATTATATTCTCTTCTAAATGTGACGATTCCAATTTCAACTGGTTCACATCATCAGCTATTCGATATGAATTCGCATGACCACTAAGCTTCATTACGCCAAGGCTTTGGAGTTGTGTGTGAAAATGAAATCAATGTGAATTTGCAATTCAAGTTTGTGAAAATTAGCCAATCAAAAGAATTCGCACCCATATTTAATTATAGATTTCAATTTCACATTTAACCAAGAATTTCATTACAATAAAAATTTAAAACCAACCAATTTGTATCATATCGTGCTTATCTTCATTGAATAATGTTATCACCTGATTTTTAAAAATAATTACTGACATCAAACTTGTGATTTCCATCCATTGATATTAATGCGAACGATCGATATTCGATTATATCATCCAACTTTCCATATCAACAGATTCTGGTGTGACTTTTATACACTTCAACAACATTCTCATAAATTGCCATTAACTCTTGTAGACATGTTAAGACAAGATCTATGATAAAGAGTCGTTGACAATGATATTAATCAAAATGGTAGACATGTGAAAATGTTTTTATTTATTGACTTCAAAAAATACAAACTCCTTTTAGAATTTCTTCATCGATATCAATAGTTAAGTTAGTTCCTAAAAATAGACAACAATCTAGATCTTGGCTGATCAACCTTGAAATCGGAGTAAGACTATTTCGTAAAGTCCGCATAGTATGCAGTTTTTTTTGCTCGAGATCATAAAGACACATACGAAAATTAAATTAGTAATTATTTTAATTTTATTATTTATCGGTAAAGTTTATTATGTAAAATGTTACAAGTAAGCGACCATTGGTTCCTTTGTATTGGCCACATGTGACACGATTGTATGTGAGTCAATCCGGCCATATGTTTGTTTATTGTTTCAGATTTCAGTTGACAAAATTAGTACCAATAAAAGCTTTACCTATTTTTAGACTTTGAGTTTAAGGAAAAAATAGATATACGATGAATGAGAAGGCAATAATGCTGATCACGCATATCATTAACTCAAGCCACAACACTCAACCCTATAAAGTGGCTATTCTGCGTACAGATAACTATTTTTAGACTGTCGATCTTAATTTTCTTATTTATTTTCCTACACCTTTTTAGTCAAATTCTAAAGGTTATATGAATGAGTCCATTACAAAAAAGTCATTGCAAAGGTTTTGGTGCTAGTAATATATAAAATAATTGTGGCGTACCATAAAAAACAAATGTAACAATATTTTAATCAGGGCATGAATTTAATTCTATAAATAGGTAACCCTGGATCGAAATAAAAATTATATCATGTGAAAGGTGACAAAGCGGGTTTGACTTTAATCGGAGAAAAATGACAAAAAATTCTCAATCGAGAACCAAAATCAAATTAATGTGCATTTTTTACGCATGTTATATTTATCAAAACAAAAGTAATGTGTTTTTTTTTTTAAAGAGACTTAATTGATCTTTAATGAATTCAACCAAAAAAGTGGGGTGCCAATATCATCATTATATTGCTATAAAAAGAAAAGGTCCCTTCGAAAAAAATAGACACTAAAGACTTGTGTGTATTTTTAGAGCCATTTTCAAATGAAATAACAAATAAAGAACCATTTTTATTTTAATTAAAGTCAATTTTTGCTGCTTTCGTCATGTAAAACAACCTTCCACAAAAGTTCCCTCTTATCACTAACGAGAATGAGAATGTTTAAAAAAAAAAAAAACATTAAAATATATAGCAAATAGCTTTATCTTCATGGCTATCAATTATAATTGTTGTTGAAAAAAACTACGCCAAGTAAAAATATAAATTGCTCACCAGAAAAGAAGTTGCGTTGTAAAAATTACAACGGTAAAAAAATGGCCGATATAATTTTAAAAAATCCGAAATATATGTATGCATAGTTTACAAAACGAAAATTTTGTTTTTGTTTGTTATTTTATTAAAATTATTAAAATATTATCACATTAATTATTACTATAATCATCACATTTAATAATAATAAATTTAAAATGACGTTATTATTTTTCAATTCTGTTACACCGAAATCTATTTATAGACAGAAAAAATTTTATAAATACTCTTTTTTTTTTTTTTGAAAAGCAAAGCAACTTTCTAACTTTCTAGAAAAGTAAATAAAAATTAAAAAAAGAAATAAATCTAAAAGAATTTTTTCGAAAATTATAAACTTTTATTAACAAATATAAAACTCTTTCATCCTTATTCTTTCATCATGTCACCATTAAGATCCCAACAAATTGGAAGAAATTATTGTTTGGAACAAGAAACAGAAATTGTTCACAATTCCGATAGGAAAAAAAGAAATTTAATTATCGTTCGACCATTTTCTTCAAAGACAACTTGTCATCATCATCGTCGTCGTCGTCATGGTTATTCTTGTTATCTTAATAATAATAATAGAAGGCATAAAGAACAACTAAAACAACACAACTGTTTCAAGAACAATGACGAAGATCAATCCGACGAATATTTGAAAATTTTGAGTGAGCGAATTAACAGAATTGAAAAACTTATTAATGATCTCAGCGACAAAGTTAATTCTACATCACCACAGCCACTCACTATTAATGGTACCCAAGTTTCAAATTCTGATCGTCTTCGCTTTACACCATCATCCTCTGCCGCTACCCCCGAAGCCGCTACTACTAAAGCGAAAATTGACTTTTCTAAAATGAATTTGGACGAATTAATCGAATTTTCAAATAAATTAAAAAAATTTAATTCAAAAGAAATAAAAGAAAATAATAATCAATAATAACAATACCAAAGAACGGCTTCAACTCACAATAAATCTCAGTCTCGTTATTACCCAGAACATTATGAATGAATTTAGAATTAAAAAAATTGTATAATAGGTTACTCAATTAATTATTATTATCGCTTGTTTTCTATTTTTATTTCCATTCAAATTATTACAATTGATTGATTGATTGATTGATTATAAAATATTATGAAACAATTACAACAATTACAACAATTATGAAGAAAAATTTTATTTTTCGCATAAGAAAATTTTGAAAAATTAAGAACATTATGTAATATTACTTAATTGATTTCTTTCGACTTTTTATTTTGGTTTTTCTTTAGATATTTAATTCTACTTTTTTTTTTTCTGAAAAATGATAATAAAATTCGTTTTCTCTAATAAACAATCCGTTAATGTCTGTATGAAATCATTTTCAATTGATTACTCCAAAAAAGGAAAATATCATTATCTGGTCTAACTCCGGCCGAATTCAATATAATGGATCGGACATGCATAATTTTTATAAGATTTTTACTACTATAATCATTTGGTAATTGATTGTGTATATTATTATTGTTATTATTATCAATTAAGTCATTCTTTATTACTCTTTATTTTTTCCTAAAACAAACTTCTTTATAATAATATTTAAAACACATTTTGGGCAAAACTATTCTTTTTTGGTTTATATCGTGCTCCAAACATTTGGAATTTCGCTTTGCTTCGTCCGCCTTGTTCCACCATACACAACTATTATCATTTCTAATGACTATTACTAGTAAAGTATTTTTCATTGGGAATATCTAATGCGGGCACAAAGCTATTTTTATTTATTTTTTTTGCTTTATTACAAGTAACGTGATTAACTAATATATTATATATTTTTAATTGAAAAGAAAAGGAAATTTTAAATAAAAATTATTATTATAATGATAAATAGGATGTTTATATAAATAAATAACTTAATAAATAATTAAAAGAACTAAAAACTCGATTCTTCTCCACCATATTCTACGTTTTTTAATCCTGCTTCATTCTTCCTTTAACAGCTTTATTTTGCCTCTCCTCCCCCAATACAAACTGTTTCGCTAGCTCGTTCACTTGGCTTAATGTTAATATTAATTTTAGTATTAGTATTGACATTATTATTATTATTGTTACAATGATGATGATGATGTTGTTGATAATATCGATATTGCACTATTTAAAATTACTCCAAGGATGCCGGCATTATTATTATATTTTGACAAACCATCTTCACATTTTTCTTCTTCTTTTAAATCGAGACTTGGTAATATGTGAGAAGAAGAAGAAGAAGAAGAAGAAGAAGAAGAAGAAAAAGAAAAGGAAAAAGATTGTTCTTCATTCATATTGTAGTTGCGCCTATTGTTATTATGAGTATTTGGTCCTGCCAATGAAGTTCTTACTAACGCTGTAATAACTGCGAAATATAAAAGAGCCTTTACACTTTGTTGTTGTGATGTTTTTGTTTCCATATTTTTTTTTATTAATACTATCGTTTTCTTTTTTAATAAATTTTTAAATAATTTTTTTCAAGAAAATCTTCATTAAAAAATAACAAACTTATATATACTGTGTATAGATGACTAATTGAGTTAGAATCTGTTTTTTGTAAAAGATAACATCATTTATTGTTAGCATTAGTACACAACAAATAAATAATGGCAATTTATATTAATATTAATTAATAATTTCCCACACATTAATATTTAGTTAATTTTATTCGTTAAACAACCATTGGTTAGAAAAGAAATGTGGCAGTTCTTTAAAAGAAATAAAGCAAGGGGAAAATGATAAAATTTCCTTAAAAAATACTTATTGCCTATTAATTTGTACTAATGCGCTCATTCATTTATTTTTTTGGAATTCTTTGAATGACTTTTTAATATTATTATTATGGGGCAATGATGTGTGACAGGAATTTGATGACAAAAAGTAAAAAAAGCCTCGACTTTTTTTTGACCTGCATTGTTTTTCAAATAAATAAATAACCCAATCTAATAATCCCAAAGGCTTTTTTTTGATGTAATTTTTTCTATAAATCATTTTTTGGGGAATGTCATTGTATTTTTCTCTTATGATTATTCTAGCAGCTCTGATTCTCCATCACCATTAACAATTTGCATAGCCTTGATAATCTCGAGCTATGGAATCAATCAACAATGTTTTTGATGGAAAATTGAAAAGTTTTAAATTTAAAACAATTACCCTACCTTTGCATAAATTATAACCATCTAATAATATTTAATGCATGATTGAAAATTTAAAAATAACATATATCACATGCGTCCTTCGTTTAAAGTTGTGCTGACAAATGTAGAAATCAATAACTTAAAAAGAGGGCGCCTCTTATGGCTATGTGAGGTTGGTCAAGAAGTGGCGTCTAAAAAGCCTTTCTGTTTTATCCTCCTGCGGTCATGAATTTTTCCATTGAATATAATTTCAGCCGGATCGACTTGGCCAAGAAATTTGTATTTATCAAGAAATTTTCCGAAATGTTTATTTTGTCTGGAATTCTTTGACTGTCGTAAATTCTCTAATTATCTAAAAACACAAACCTGTCGTCCGAGTGTTACGCAAAAACGGAATTATTTAGCAAATATTCCTCGAAAAAATATTCCCTAAAATTAGGTTTTAAAGGGAATTTCTTCTGAATAGAAACTCGGATTATTAATTAAAGATTAATTAATCGTCATGGCTCAACAAGAATCATTTCTAATAATTCTCGCTGAGCATTATTGGGTAACATCAAATTCCCTCTCTTTAAAAGTTCATCATATTGATCTTGTTCGTGGTAATAATCTTAATATTCTTCATGATCTTACACTTGTTTCATCTTGAAATAAATAACGCTAAAGGTCTTTAATCATTCGTGGGAGGACTGAGATAACCGGTAATTAGAACCGGTAACTTTTGTAGTTGTACCAACCATTCGTCGGTAAAGATATTGTTGAAGGTAATATTTGGAATATTTGAAATATTAATATATATAAATAATTGATTCGGACGTAATTAAAAATCGAGGTTTTGGGGATTGAGTCAAAGCAAAATTAATTTTGACAACATATTAACATATAATTTGAAGCCGTGTGTTCAAATAGTCAATAGCAGCAACAAAAAAAAAAGTTATACATGATGTACTGGATATAAGATATTGGTCAATGAGACTGGCCAAAGTTAAGCTTAATCCAGGCCATTGTTGTGAATTACTAAACTTGACTAACCTCCCCCGTATTGATAATAATGAATGTTTGCTGAAATTGAAAAGTGAATGAGAAAGAATATGGAAGAGACCTTACATTTTTGGGTTGAAGACTTTCTTATTTGAGAGGTGATAGAAGTTCCAAGACCACGGCCAATTTCAATTGAAGAATTGGCTCATTCGGATTTTATTGAAAGGGTGGGAGAATTGAATAACCATCTAAATAAAATAATGTAATAAATTGTGAATTATTTAAACCATATCAAAAAGAAGAAAATACGGCCACCAGCTAGATTATCAAAAGGAAACAGTAAACAAAATTATTATATTAGATATACAGTAGACAATAAAAACAATAAGATGCAGCAAGAAATTAATAGATCAACAAAACAAAGACATGCGTTATATAGCAGCGATTAGAAAAGTAGAAGTTAAAAGAATTAGAAAATACAAAACCTGAAACAAAAGCCAAGGAGAAACAATTGAATTACATCTTTAAACGGCTAAAGCTCAACTCAAAAAAACCTTCGAATTTGAAGATGATGGGTGATCTTTCCACTCGAGGTTTTTTTGACTCCCTGAACTTGCCGCGTGCTGATAAAAAATTTGGGATCTTTGCCATATTAATATATGTAATTCATGTGTGCATCATAGTGACAGGTGTGATTTCCAAGCCAACAATGGTTCTTCAAGACAGATTATAAAAATGCTGTATGACATATTTTGCTTATATTACATCAGCATTGCATCATTATAAAAGTTTTTTATTTTTATATATAATTCACATTTTTATTTTTTCACACAACAAAAAAAGATAAATTATGGTAAATCAGATTATTATTATTGTTGAGAAAAAAGTTTTTTGGATCAATTATTAACAATTTCCAAATTTTCAATTATACATTATACAAGGCGACCAGGAATGAGTCAATAACAACAACAAAACTTTCACCTTTACAAGTTCACTATTTAAAAAAAGAACTTATAGCCAGACAAATAAGAAAAGAAATTCAATTGTTTTCTGAAGTTGGTTCTATAAGCTCGTTATTTTTCTGGGATGAAATTGATGTCAACAGCAACGACGACAATAACGCTATCACAAACACTAATAACGTTGCAACAACAACGATAAAAAAAGATGAAATAAGCACTCCATTTTTACGTTACGTTTTTATAAATTTCGTGTTCACCTTTCCATTTCTACAAAATGTTGATAAATTCTTTTGGGTAAAAATCAAAGATTTCCTAGAAGAGTTCTCAAAGAAAAACATTAGTTCCACCACAACAAGAGACGAGCAAACCAAAAGAAAAAGATTGGCCGAGAAAATAGTTAGTGAAGTGACATTAATGTTTAATGCTGGTTTGAAAGTAAGTTCAGGCAAAGAAGAATCAATTAAAGTTGATTTTGATAGTTTGAAGAAACACATTCCCTATAATTATAGTTATGATGACGATAAAACTGATAAAACTGACAACATTAATATTATTAAATCTGATAATGATAATGATGATGATGATAAAAAACACGATTATAATAATAATGGTAATGATAAAAACGAAGAAGATATTGAAGCTGCGTATAAGGAATACTTGTTTATAAGTGATTATGAAAAATTTATAAATGGTTGGAATGTTAATGTAATTTCTGTAAGAAATAAAATAAAGAAAATACATAAAATCAGGGAAAAATCTTACCTTGTAAGTACCTATATCTATATACAATATGATGATGATTATTCACAATTTACCCGTTCATCTAACCACTAATTTGTTCATTATGCATTGATTAATTCAAAGGAATTTATTATTCAATCAAAACGTTTAAACACCGATGAAACTCAAATTGTTGCAAGAAGTTTTAAAGAATTTAAAATTTTAACCATGAAAGTAAGTCTATTTATTGTACACCATCACATTATATTTATATATTTATTTGTGTAAATGTACACGTAAATATATATATAACATGAACATTAGTTAAAAAAAGATTTTTTTTAATTATTATTATCTTTTTTAGTTGAAAGAATCATTCCCATCGATTAATGTTCCACCGGCACCATCAAAATATAAAATTCAAAAAAAAGCATCATTAAACAAAAAAAATTTTTCAAACAATATTGATTATGAATCTGAAAAAAATCGTCAAAATTTACGTGGACACTTGATTACATTAGTATCAATTAAAGAAATTGCTAGATCAAAAGTGTTTAGATTATTTATAACTGAAAAACCAATACAACTAACTAGTGAAGAGTTAAAGGAAGCCGAAAAACATAAAGAGTTGGATAAATTTAGAGAACAACAACAAAAATTGTTTAATAAGGAAGCTGAAAAAAGAACAAAAGAATTGGAGCAGCAAGTTTTGGAATTTAAAGAAGAATTGTTCAAGTCTGGTAAATAAATATTTGGGGGTTTTTTTTTTATTCATTAAAGGATATATAATTATAATGCCATTCATTATTAATGATTATTATGATTATTATAATTATTATTTTTAGGAGGATTATCAAAGGTTTTGCAGACAGTTCAAGAAAGCAAAAAAATAACAGATTTACCCTTTACTTATCAAAAAATTATTGAATATGGTGAAATTAGGTTTTTATAACAATGATTTTAATAACATTATCAGAAATTAATATAATCCTCCACTGATACTAATTTTTTGAGTAATGACAATATTTTATAGTTTTGCTTCAACATTATATTCATTATTTATTGGATCAGATAATAGCAGTGAAACATTTTCACAATTAAAACGTACACACAACCTGATGCCATATCGATTAATGAAAACTGTAATGAAAATTTCTAATCCTGTTGGTATACTAAGATCTATCATGGATATTTTCTTGGCACAGCCATTTGGCCAAAAAAGTTTAATACAAAGGTATTGTTTGTTTTATAAATTCTTTTTTTTAAATTTACCTCTTTCTTTTTTCTTTGATTTGTAGTTGTGGCAAATTAATTAACCTTTATGAACGATTATTAGGATGTTATCTGCGAATTTATATGAAGAGATAAAAACACTTAACAATGATATGAAAATTGTAGAAGAGTCCATTAATGATCCTGAAATATGTGAAAAATTACGAAATTTTGTTTATGCTTCATCCGATACTCAAAAATCCATCAAAAAAGATGTTTCGGCTGCACGTTAGTATACTAAATAATAATAATTTCAATTGTTTTTATTAAATAGTCAATCAATCAATCATTGATTAATTTTATATTTTTTTGTATAACGGTAACAACAATAACAACAATATAGATTCAACAACATTGATTGTAGCAATTTTAAAATCTGATATAATATCACCGAACTTATCCTCGGAACAATTAGGTCTTATCGAGAAAGCAATGATCGATTACATTAATGATCGTCATCCAAGTATCAATAATGACAAGGATCATAATTCAAATAAAAATAAAATATATCGTCGTAAGAAAAAAGATAAAAACAATTTAATTTATTTATTGAAAAGATTGTTTTTTATTTATATTCGTCAAAGAGATAAAGAAGTTATGATTGAATTGTTGTTTCAGGTATTTTCTAATTTTTAGATTTTAATTGAATTGATGATGTTATTATGAATTTCTAAAAAATTTAATGATTAACGATTGATTTTTATTAAGGGAATTACTGGTGATTTAATAAAGGATATCATAGCGATATTCTATGAACCATTGGCTAAAATATATAAAGTAAAATCAATTAATCAATCTCTTTTATACATTTATATATACATATATCCAAATTCATTCATTCATGAAATTAAAATTTTTCCTTTTAAAAAATGAAAAGGCAGCAAATATTGGAGATTCTTTAACAGATGTTTCAGGATTTATAGATGAATTAATAATATTAGTTGATCAAATAGATCAAAAAGGTAAACTAATTCACTAATTGGTTAAATTACATGATTAATGATTAACATTGATTATTCTAATATCAAAAAAAAAAACTCGCCTTCACTCATGTATCTAGTAACAAAAATGGCATCATCAAAATTTTCAAGTTCTGATTCAATAATCCAACCATTTATGCAATTAGTTGATAGACACATACCAAGCTTTTATAATTTTGTTCAATCAATCTATTTACACGATACATCAGGACTGTTTCAATCGATGTTAAATTGGATTGAGAAAATTATAGATTTTATGAGAGGAGGCACTATATATGATAGATTTGATTTGGATAAATTGATTGATGAGGTATTAAGTGAAGAAGAAGATGAAATTAAAGCGTTGACTAAAGAAATAGATGATTTGATGTTATGGAATACATTAAAAAAGAAACGAAGATTATTAAAATTAAAGAACATTCTTAGGAATAATAGTGATGATAAAAGTTTTGAAGACGACAGTGGCAGTAGCGGTAGTAGTAATACCAGTAATAGTGGTAGTAGTAGTGATAGTGACGGAAGTGATGATTATTTAGAAGAATTTTATCAAGTAATAGATGACGATGATGAAAGTATTGAGGGTGACATTAATACTAGTAATGGAATTATAGGTAATGGATTAATAGATGGAAGTGAAGGACTAGATGATAATGAAGAAAATCTTATTTTAAAAAATCAAGATCTAAATGATTTAATTGATGAAAAGTTAAATATTAAAATGAAATTTCCTGATTTAAAAGTTTTACCTAAATTATTATCACCTTTTGTTGAATTGGTCAGTGAAAGTTTAAATAAATTCTCTGTTAATTAGATTAATTAATTAGAAGAATTAATGTTGATTCTTTTAATTATAATAGTAATCAAATAATTAGTCCATGCGGCAAATTATTTTTTTTTAGATTGGTAATTCACCTTAAAGTGCAATTTTTATTTTTTAAATTATTCTCTTAAAGGTCATTAATTAACTATATATGTATATTATCTGAATAAAATAAAGATCATTCAAGATTAATTAATTTTCAAATTTATTATGTTAACAGCCAGAATTTACTGTATGGGTCAGCTCAACATGACACGTTTTCCATACAACATACTTTAAAGAAGTAATTTTTATGCGATCATTTATTTAAAACACATCAATAGAATCGGCAGTACATGGTGGTAATTTCATCCCAAGAATACGAAACCCTTCCTTATTCCGATGTCGATGATTTGCGTTGAAACAACTTGCGAAACTTGCAATAATAATAAACTCGAGATTCCTATATTTATTTTTCAAGCACTTAGAGAACAAGCAGAACTAGACCTGTTCTAATGTTTGCTTATTAAGATATATGGTTAAAGTATAAGATACATAATATTAATAATTCCTAAAAAATTGAGAGAGTAGAGCAATCAAAAAATTTTTGTTAATAACTCGAGCAGTTTATGAATGTTTTGAATTTCTATATAGCATATCATGTAAAAATGTGATTTTTTCATTTCCATCAATGCAAGCTATATGAAATTAGCATACTCTTACTTCTATCAAATATGCTTCATAATTACTGTTTGGCACCTATATTTAATTTAGTGAGTGAAAGTTGAAATTAATTTTAAAGAATCTGAGCTAGTAGATTGTTTTATAGCAAATTTCCAACCATTATTTATTTACTTTGCAGCAATTATACAAAAAAAAAGAACGGGCGAACATCTTGAAAGTAATAATATTTACAAACTTTACAGTACTGGTCGAGAACAGTTAGTTCAATTATTGGATCAGAAGTTGTAACCAGTGAAGGAACAAATCTTCAAGACTCCCGGTTCCTTTTTTAGAAAAAAGGGTAACCATAAAAAGTAAAATTTTTGAAATATCCACATGTTTAAAACAACCACTGTAGTTATCCCCCATTTTTCGAAATTTCTAAAAAATGTTCCTCGTGATGAGTTACACATAAATGTAATTGGATTTGGGAGGCATTCATTTTTACCGACAATCATTTTACCGACTTTTACCGACAAACAACTAATAAAATGCTAAAGTGGCGCGCCGCGTGTTGTCGGTAAAGTAATACGTAACCATTGATTTTTGGGCAACATTCCTTTGTTTCTATTGAACACCCACCCCATATTAATGTCTCAATTTCTTAAGATTTGAAATTTTCAAAATGCAAGGCTCAGCCAATTTTTAGTCTAAGAAAAAACTAGCAAAGTTTTGAAGCTTGAGCCATAAACAAAAACCGGCTAACTTTTTTAGTATTTTGAAGCTGACCAATTTGTTATTATTATTATTATTATACATACACACATGTAAACTCGATAAGCCCAGTCTGACGCAGCAATTAATTGTTTAAAGTAACTTGATAATATAATAATAATAAATAAATGACCGAGTTTACATGTGTGTATGGATTTACCTTTATTAGAATTGCTGATCAACTGATCATATGCAGAAAATAATTTCCCAAGTTTGGTTAGAGTTAGCACCGACAATTCCGCACATTGAACTTTTATACACTGCCCAGTAGATCATGTATGCTATCTGCGTCAATAGAAAAATCCGCCGATATGTTTTAGTTTATGCAGCAGCGTCTGACTTTAAAAACCTTGTTTATTCAGTCAGAGTGGCAATTCCCTCATAAATTGGCAAAGCTCAAGTTGGATTTATAAAAGTATAGTGGGTAACTTGTATATAATTAATATTAAAAAAAAAAAAACGATAAACTAGATAAATTCTTTAAAGGTACGCGCGCGTCCTTTGGAATATTCACGTTAAATCTATTTGACTCAAACATTATAATTTTATTTTCTATTATGATGCGAAAAAAAGCATTACGTAATAAATAACAAAAAAAGTGTTGTCTAATCTATTGATTTTATTTCAATCATCTCATATGGAGTATGTTTAATTAATCTCCGTTTGAGCGAAACATGTACTATAGGAGATTTTGTAAAGATCACGTGAATTTATAGGTAACTAATGAAATTGTTTATTGATATTTATTTATTGATATTTATTGTGTAATGATACATTGCAAAATAATAAATAAGTAAATAATAAATAAATAAATAATAAACAAGATTAAATAATAAACAAGATTAAATAATAATGATATCAATCACTGTTATCATGTTTGGATTCAATTAGTACACTAATTCTAACAACCAAGAGAGAGAAAGAAAGTGTGAGAACAATAATTGCGAAAGTTATATAACTTGAATTATTTGGCAAATAAATTATTTTTTTGGAATATGGTGACGCTGGAATACGAGTATCAACATAAATATAGTAAGCATACAATACGTATGCTAAAGAATAACTAAATTGAAACAACAAGATACTATATTTGAAAAATAATTTTTTGAAAGACAAGGAAAATTTAAATTAAAAAAGTTGATCACCAAAAAAAAAAACTTTTTAAAACAATTAAATCCACTTACGGAGTTTGTTGAGCATAATAAAAGGTATTTATAGTGTTGCCCAATCCATGAATAAACGATGCTAACGCCAAGATCAAAAGTTGATTTGGGTGATGGAAACATGATTTATATTTAGTAGCATCATCATCATCATCATCATCATCATCATAATAATAATCATCATCGTCATCATCACTATGATTTTCAAGATTTTGTCGTTCTTCATCTTCATAATTACCATCGTCAACCAATGCAATACGATTTTTTTGTTTTAAATTATGAAGTGTTGTAAAATATGTTCTTGTAAGTTCAATAAATAATAATATATCAAGTGTCAAGCCTATAAAATTATATAATTTATATGGGTTAAATGGAAAAGTAGGAATTTCAAACACCAAGCCCAAGCCACAAATCATACCTTGAATTCTAAAGGCAATAGCATCATAAGGCCATTTTAAGAATATAGTAAGTGCACCAACGATCAAAAGATGTATAAAGAAAAATGCATACCATTTTGAATAGTTGATTTTTCCTCCTGATAGTATCCAAACTATCAACACATATTCTAATATATTGTGATTTACTGCAACCATTCCAAATAATTTACCAATATCAAATATCGCATAAGTAAAGCCTGAAACAATAGTTGTTATAATGTAAATCACTATCAAATAATATAACTCGTCATTTCTATGTCTTTTACGTTTGCTGTGTCCATCATTGTATTCATAAAATATTGTCGAATATTTATTGGATTTCGGCTTATTTTTAATTGTATGATATCCAATATATGCACCGATTGCCATCACCACCTCGACAAATACACTTAATGCATCAAGTTGGCTCTGATCATATCCTAAATTTCAAAGAAAATTGTAAATTATAAAAGAAATTATATATATAAATCAGATTAAATAATTAATTACCATCAATTACTGGATGCCAAACTGGATAACCGGTTAAACGGTTAAAAGTTTGTTTTGGAATATTTAATTCAACATTTAAAAAACTAAGAGCTACAGCTATAAATACAAGAACAGAAATTATCACCACAAACACTTTACAAGCAAGCCCCATTTTTTTTTTAATTTTGGTATTTTTTTAAAGAAAAAAAAATTATCATTTTTTATTATAAACAAATTATTTATATTATTATTTATATAATATTATATAATGGCGCTGAATTGTTTGTTGTTTATACTTTGTGATTTATAAATAAAGATACCAAATACCAGATAGATAAATCTTACGCAGTAAATAAAATTCAATTTATATTTTTCCGAATTAAAAAAACCCATTATTATTATGCCGCAATACGTCACAGGCGGATAAATCTCACGGCTATTTTTTTAAATTTCTAACAAAAAACAGTTTAAATTTTATTAGTATTATCATCGTCATTCATTATTTTATTTTGAATTATGTTTTGAATTTTATAATTTTTATATATAGTCGTTATTGTAACGAGCAGAAAGAGATTGAAGAGTGGTGATAGTTGTAGTAATTGACAATGTAAATCTTTTACCAAACTCAAATCATTTTTAATAACAAAATTTTTTAAAAAATTATTAATTTGATTAATTAATTAAAAGAATTTTAAGTGATCTTTCTTCCCCAGTTGATTGTGACTCATCATCACAACCAACTCTCCTTCAAATGTAAAAAGATTTAGCTTTCATTCTGGGATGAAAACTTGCAAACTGATGTTGACTAATCACTGTGCCAAAGTCAACGGGATGTCTTTTAAAAAGACTAACTCTTGGGGTTCATGCATGGGTTACAGTTGATCCAATTAAACCAATAAATACCTTAGGATTAAATCGTATCCCTCTTTTACCAGACGGCGTATGCAAGAGTTCTACAGCTTCATTATCATCATCATCTAAAAATGAGAATGTGGCTTCTTCAACTTCATCATCTTCTAAAAACCAAAATAAAAAAAATTCCAATACTTGTGTGAAAATTATATCAATTAAAGACCTTGATCTCAAATGAGTTCTTGATACTCATTAGAGAAACATCAACGATGATGATCCTATTGAATGATTATAATTCAAGTATTACAGCAAAAAAATGAATTTTTAAATTAAAACCTAATCTAAAAAAGACCAATTACAGCCAATTGTCGTTGGATCAATAGATTGGTGAAGAATAAAAAGGTGATTATTCATTCTTCAAAAGGCATTAAATCAACTGAGAAAATACCTGAAATAAAATATGACTGTCGCCTCACCATAAATCATCTTGGTGAATTCTACTTGAGCCAATTGAAATTAAGGCTGATAACTAAGGCCCTAAATTTTCGGTGGCTGCTGGCATCATTTCTTTTGATCTAGGAGTGGGGACCCTCATGACTGAATATAACCCAAAATGGTGAAGGTTATAAATGGGAAAACAAAAAAGTAGATCAGATCACTTATGATAGAGTACAGATGAAGGAAATTCTATTCTATTCGTGGTAAAAACAAATGAGCGCAAAAGATGTAAGCTCCATTGATGCATGCAAGAAAATTCATAATCTTGTGGTTTAATGTTATCGAAAATTTGCAAAATGAAAGTTTTAGAAAAACCCAATCCAAAAACTGCGAGACAAATGTTGAACTGGTGGCACATTACCATTTTCGTCAATATTTTCTCCATAAATCCTGCAAGTAAGTGAGTGTGGATGTTGTGGAATCATCAAACAAAATCTAGGACCTATAAATGTACATTTTGCAATTCCACAATTGATAGAGATGTAAATGGAGCCTTTAATATACTTTTAAAGTATACTAACTACTATTTACGGAAATACAACAAGAGTGGTTCGCGACGTGGGGCTTATACCCGAAACACCTCGTTGTAAGCTGTCTATGTAGGACTTGTGCTTATAGAGGTTCAATGAAGAAGTTAATAGGATTTTTAATTAATTTTTAATTACCCAAACTTAAAAATCACACCCACATGGCGTTAAAACAATTCTGTTATGTCATCCATCATCGTTCAATCCGCCTCTCTATATTTACGTAATAGTAAAATTGCATTATTTTCATGAGACTTTTTTAAAAAAAAAATTTGATTTGTAAATAAAATAATTTAAAATAATTACTTTTTTGGACTTATTATATACTTATTTTTTTTAAAAAAAAAAAAAATGACTAGTGTATTATGTATGTCCCTGTATTTTAGGATAATTATATACCCAGAAACACCTGAGAAAAAAATTTTACTCGAATTCCTTTAACAAAAAAAACAAACAATTCCAACAATACACTTTTGCCTTCACTTTCATTCTCTTACCTTTTATAATCAACAAATACCAATACTGAGAATAATAATCCATGTCAAATGATCAATTGATATTTGGACGCTTTCGAAATAAAATAATACCTCGTGACGTCATAATTACTTTAGTTTGGTGTAACCACTACTATATTGAGCTTGATTACATTAAAAAAAATAGTTTAAAAAAAGAGACAATTATTTTTTTTTGTTTATTATTGTTACCACAAAAAACTTATTTAATTATATAAAAATTTTTTTTTATTTGTTTATATAATAATTCTTCTCTACATACGATATAATTAATTTTTCCTCTTTATGACTAATCCATACAACAACATTTCACCTCTTCTTGAAGAAGAGGTGAATAACATTAATAATAATAATAATAATAATAATAATCATAATCATAATAATAATAATAATATCAATAGTGTTAACATTAATAAAAGAAATAATGCTGGTATACGAAATTTAGCAAATGTAAGAGACATTCAACAACATTCAACAACCATACCATCATTTGGTAAGAATAAAAATAATATCACCATTAACTCATTGCAATCATCAATCGTTGATAATACATTAGAATCAAGTTCTGGAAGTTTAATTTTTACTAGTACAAATGACAGTGAAAATTACTTTACAACCTCAACTTCAAATACCACTATTACTAGTAGCTCTATCAATAATATTATAGAAAAAGATTCATTATTACCAAACCCATTTATTACAACTGTAACTACTGATAATAGTAATATTAATTATAATCCACAAATTGAATCTCAAGAATTAGTAATCGTAAGTGATAATGATTTAGCAATAATAACAGCGACTGAATCACAATTAGAAAGTGTAGAAGTAACAAACTCACAGAATATTAATCAAGACAAAGGAAAAGAATTAGGAATCCAAATTATAGAGCCTGATGATGATGATGATGATGATGATGAGGATGAATATGATGAATATTCAAATTGGTTCAATGAGGTAAAATATTTTTTAAAAATGCAAATAATCTAGAAAAAAATATTTATTTTCCTTTTCTATGGCATAAAAAAAATTTCATCAGGTTGGTAATTCATTATTGCAAAGAAGTCAACTATTCGAAAGTTTGGCAATTGCAACTTCAAAAATGACATTTATAAAAGTTGAACCTGAAAGCGATGATGAAATTACAACTCCTGCTACCCATGGCCATTTTTTAAGAAAAAGGTATGTCTCGCAAAAAATAAATATTTGTAGTTATTTATTTATTCTGTGAACTAATTTATTTATTATTATTTTTTTCTAAACATAACTACTTGAAAAGAACCAAGCGTATCAGTTATCCAAAGGATTATCCAAGTAATAGTACTGGTAATAGACGTTCAAAAGCACGTAAATTGAGACAAAAAAATAAACATCGTCAAACGTTACAACAATCTGTTAATGAAAATGATGCAGATGATGATGAAAGTATAAATAATATTGATGAATTGTCCCAATACGAAGATAATGTTGATAATGTAACTGATAATAATGATGACGGTGATAATATTGATAATGATGGTAATGATTATGACAATAATAATCAACAACAGGAAACTGCAGATGCTCAACTTGTTAGGCACGATCTACGTTCTCGGAAAGTATTAGATAAACAATCGAATAAACAAATATCGGTTCCCAGAACTCCACCTAGAAAATCTACTAATAAAAAGTTACCACAAAAATCACCCGCCATTTCAAAACAAACCAATCCAAGAGCACCAACTACACCAGTTACTAAAACAAAACCTAGCCCAAAAACTCCAAAACCAAACCCCCAAAAAAATAAACGTAAAAATAATGAGGATCGAGAATGGCGTCCTGATAGTGAGTCAGATCCTGAAAATTTGTCTGATCAAGGGTCTACTGCTGGCCCTAAATCTACTCTTAAGACTCAAACAAGAACCACATCGACTACTACTTCAAAATCCGTTACTGCTAAACAATCAACCCCTTCAGTAAATCTAAGACCTTCAAACCCAATAAGAACTCCACGTAATAATAATTCTGCCACTACCACTACCACTTCTAGTAAAACTAGAAAATCTTCATTACCATCTAAGGGAACTCAAAAAGCTAATCAATTATCAAAAGATAATGGAGGTACAAAGAGGGGGACTCGCGTAAAAAGAAAAGAAATTGTCAATAAAGAGTTGTCTGGGGTTGATAATAATGATATAGAAAAAATTGAAATTGAACAACAATTTTCTATTACTAGTGATACTAATACCATGGAATTAGTTGATGCCGAAGCTTATGATTCACCAGAAGCATCACTTCCAAAATCACCTACCACTACCAGAAAAACTAGTACATCAAGCCCAGAACGTCTTATTAAATCTAGAAGAAGATCAACTGTTGTTATCAGTCCCCCAAAACGCCGAAACAAACCTATTAATAAGACTAAGAATAATAATGATACAAGCATTTTTGAACAAAATATTGTTACTACTGCACAAGATGAGCTAGACAATAATGAATTCGAAGAAGAAAAGGAGACAATACCAGTCGAATCACCACAAGATAATGTCACTCCAAAAAAATCAAGAATGGCTGCTACTAAGAAAAGTGTTGTTAGTACTAGAAGTAGTCTTAGAAATAGAAGTAATCTTAGAAATAGAGATAGTAGTACTAAAATCACAACTGTTGCTACCACCACTGTTAGAGGCAGTAATAAAGGTGTTCGTAGTAGACGAGGTGGTAAAACCAAAAGTAATATTAATACTACTACTGAGGTTGCTGTTATACCAAATAAAGAAACTCAAATCGAGCAAACGACATCATCACCATCACAATCTGATTATGATGATTATGATGTTGTAAAAATTTCAGCAGAAAATCCAAATGCATTAACAAATGTTATTAAAAGTGTTCGTCGTGGACGAGGTGGTAAAACCAAAGGTAATATTGATAGTACTACTGAGGTTGCCGTTATACCAAATAACGAAACTCAAATCGAGCAAACTACACCATCATCATCACAATCTGACTACGATGATCCCGATGTTGTAAAAATTTCAGCAGAGAACCCAGATGCATTAGCAGGCGCTATTCGTGCCTTAACTTTTCAAAATTATGATATTGTGCACACTTCAGCAAACATTATACCAATAATTCAACCACAAACCACCTCTATTCCACGATCTATACGTGTAAAACCATCGCCATCATCGTCGTTGTCGTCATCGCCGCCATCCACTATAAAATCGAATAGACCTAAAACTTCACCATCACCAAATGTAAACTCTTCGGCATGGGATGATAATCATTGGCAAATTTTGAAATATACTTACTTAGAAATTAGAAATAATTATATTGAAAAGGGTAAAAGTGGAATCCATAATGAAGATGTATATAAGGAAGTTATCAAAAGTTTTCTAAATATTAGACCTCAATTTGAGGAGTATGTAATCTTTTCCTAAAATAAGTAATAATTAATTAGTTAGTTAAAATAAAATCCTAAATTTTTTTCTTTTTAATTAAATCTAGATCTGAAATTCGAGTACGAATGATAGCGTTAGAAACTGTAGAAATTGAAAAACAAGGAAAAAGAAATACTGAAAGAAGAGGAAGTATAGAAAGTAGTAGCTCGAAAAATAGTAGATTTAGTGCAACTCGATATAATTCCGCATATTCAAATATGCGTAACACGCACAACAATCCACGTAAACGTAAAAAAATTGTTAAAGCCGATCTAACTGAAGATGATGTAAGTTACGTTTATAAACCATTATTCTATTTTTTTTTTTTTTTTATTTAAAATAAATAATCGATAATCATATACTTTTTCAAAAAAGGATTTGGATGATAATAGTGAAGTTATGGCTGAAGGCAGTAAACGTCGACGTGGATTGGATTCGGATTCTATTTCCGATGTTAATACAACAGGACAAAATACTCCACCTAGGGCTAAATTTTCAAGTTTATTTGGATGGTTCGGAAAACGGACTACTGATAATGCTTCACAAATATCTGCTTCTGATATTGCTGCTGAACAAAATGAAAAAGTTATAGATGACAATGAAGAAGTATATGATAACAATATTGAGGATAATGATAATGATAATTATGCAAGAGAGTATGAACAGTCTTCAAAATCACTTCTAAGTTGGTTACGGCTTAATTAAGATTATTTTTCTTCTAATTATCATCGTTGATGTAAATATATATAACTTTACAATTCTGGTTTTGGCTAATTTAATTCTTATTTTTGGATTGGTTTAATTTATAAAATCCCAATTTTGCATTTATATATATAATATACAATATCTTTATTTTATCATTACTATAATAATATTCCTTTGCATACATAATTTTTGTATATTTATTTTAAATTTCTTTTCAACTGTTTTATTATATAAATATATATAGAATTTATTAATTATTATTTAGCATTTTTTAATTTCCATTTTATGTATAATATATATATATATACGTATTATATACATATTCAATATAAAAAATATATTCTTTAACAAGTACATAATATGTATCATAAAAGATCATAAAGATCATAAAATAAGAAAAATAAGAATCGATATTGCTGTATTTTTAATATTAATATGAGAATTAGGTTTTTATTTTTAATAATAAACTTAATTTTAAACATTTGTTGTTGGTTCTTCTTTCTTTTTCAAAATTGGCGCACATTTAATAAAACAATGCCTATTCTTTTTTTTTATAATAGCCTATTATTATAATTACAGATATATATATATATATTTTAAAAAAAGGATTACATATTAAAAGGAAAAAAAATTTCTAAAGAACACTAAATCCAATATTATTATTACATAAAAATTCTACTACTTTTTTATGCTGCGAATTATTGCCTTTAAGATTCTAGTTTCTCTCTTTTCTTTTTCATGTTCTGTTTGATTATCCATCGCCCTATCACCAACATCTGAAATATCGGATTTTACTTTTTGAATTGATCTTAACAAATATACAAAATCACTTTGAGTGGATAATTGTATATTTGAACCATTAGCCGTCAATGTATTATTAAGCTTCGAAGATTCTTCAAATTTTCTGGCAATAACTTCTGCACTTTCCACAATCTGACTTGGAATTCCTGCCATACTAGCAACATTCATTCCGTATGATTTTGGACATACACCAGGAACAAGCTTATAAAGAAAAGTGACTTCCCTAAGTTTTTGATCCATATGACAGCTCATATGCTTAAGAGCAATATTTGGATTATTGGAAAATTCTTTGGTTAGCATTCCATAATGAGTAGAAAATAATCCCAAGCAACCAATATATGTGGCCAAATAATGTAAAACAGAATAGGCAATGGCATATCCATCAAATGTAGAAGTACCACGACCCAATTCGTCCAATATAACCATAGATCTTGGGGTGGCTTCATGCAGAATTCTTGAAGTTTCACTTAACTCTACCATAAATGTACTTTGCCCTGCTAAAATATTATCATTGGCCCCAATACGCGTATAAATCCTATCGAAAGGCGTCAATAAGCATCTTCTTGCAGGAACATAACATCCAAGTTGTGCCATAATGATAGCTATACAATTCTAAAAAAATATAATATAATCATAGTAGTAGTAATAGAGGGAGGTAGTAGAGGTAGTTGACATAGTTAGTTATAATAAATACCCTTTTAATAATAAAACCAAAAATAATAATAATATACAAACCTGACGTAAAAGAGTTGATTTACCACCCATGTTAGGACCTGTTAATAGAATTATATTTGGTTCTTTACCTCCAAGATAAGTATCATTGGGTATGAAATCATTTGCAACACTTTATTTTTAATATAAAATAAATAAATATAAATATAAAATCCTGTAAAAATTTGATTCTTTTTTTTTAAACCAGATTCTAATTCTAAATAAATGATAATCATCATACCCTGTCATTACACAAGGATGTCTCAATTCTTCAAATTCTAATACACTTGGGCCTTCTTTGATAAATCGAGGACGACATCTAGGTTCTATATAAAATAACAAAACATCATTTGAAAATTTTAAATAGGCATAAAATTAATTTCAGGGTCAAAAAACTAAGAATTATATATTACCGCCTAATGCCAATGAACTTTTAACCAAGCTTAATAAACAATCAGTTTCCGCAACGATTTTAACAGAGAGCAACCAATCTTGATAATTTATGTCAAATTTTTCGTAAAACTTCCCTTGTAAAGATTTAAGGATATTAGATTTATATTCTAAAGTCTCTTGAAAACTTCTAATAAGCTTTTGCAGATCTGCATTCCAATAACGACATACTTTCTAGAAATTTAATAAACATTCAATATCAACAATATATAAAACTGGTCAACATTTAATTAGATAACTATAATTTACCTGAGTACGTGAAAGTCTTTGCCAATCATTTGGTACTTGAATATTATTTGGTACCTCAATTTGATAAATTTCTTTGCCAACATTTTTGTAAACAAGTTTATCACATCTATTTTCATTTTATAAAAAAAAATATTATAAATATATATCTTCAAATTCAACTTAATTTATAGAAATGCCTGTCCAATTTACCCTAATTTCTTTTTCATGGCTGACAAGTGATCAGCCAATTGATTTTCAATCTTTTTCAATACTTCATTGATCCTATCAAATTCTGCGTCAATTCCTTTAGCTGGTATTAATTCACCTATATACAATTTAACAAGAGAATTAAATTCACAAATTTAATTAGAATCATGGACTATATAAATCAAATATATGTGCATAATATACGTGTTATTGTTATTATTGTTACAATTTAATAATACCTTTTTCGCTAGCAGTTTTATAATCAAATGCATCCATAAAATATGAAAGTTCTGAATTTAAATCTGGCAATTTGTTCATTAACTGAATTAATTTAACAGAACTAAAATCATTAACAAGGCTGCGTAATTCGTCCATGGTTTTCTATATAAATTTAATTAAAAAAAAAATTACAATTACATATAATATATCATTTATAATTAGATCTTTGTAATAGATTTTTCATTTTTTTACTTCAGAAATAACACAAACCGCTAATTTCTCAAAAGATTCCAATACAATTACAAATTCTTTCACTCTACATGACTTTGCGTGTATTCGGCTAATCAAACGTTCGAGATCAGGAAATTTAGAAAAGTTTTCATAAAATATATCGCCAAAGCCATGAGTTTTCATCAATTCTTCAACAGTATCAAGGCGTTCATTAATTCTATCAACTGAAAGAAGTGGATGACACAACCATTGTTTGAAAGTACGTTTACCTATTACATTATAAATTAAAATAATAATAATAATATAAATTAATAATATATATACATTATAGTATATTTGAGTCTAATGATTGTTCTTATAATGAATAAAGGAAATTACCAAATGATGTGACACAATGATTCAGCAAATTAAAAACAGTTCCTTTATCACTTCCATCCATATTATTTTCAAAAATTTCAAGATTGGCAAGAGTTTGTCCATCAAGTATAAGTGACGTAGCATGACGAATTGGGTCATAATTGTGAAAATTTTTAACTGATATAAGTTCTTTATCCAGCTTTAACTAAATATTGTTCATTGTAATAAAATTATTATTAATACATTTGATATAATTAAATTTTTAAATTTAATTATTTATGTATGTGCATATTGACATATTTGCTTACCAAACGCAAGTACCAAATAAGACCTATTTAATTTAGTAAAGAATCAATAAATGTGAAAATTTAAGAAATACTTTTTAAATCAACAAAAAAAAATCAACCTTACCACCAAATGCAGATAATAACAAAGGTTTTCCACAAGCTTCTTGAATAACTTTTGGCCAATTTTCTTTAATTTAAATTAAAAAAAAATCTTTTCGAATCAAAATAATTATGTGATTAATATTAATTAGATATAATACATACTCATATCGTAACAATTTTCTACGGTGGAATAATCAATTTCCATATTATTTTCATCATCCTCTTCATTATCACTCAAAGTATTTTGAGGTTTGTTGACAAAGTAACGTGACAATCTTAACTCATCTAAGGTTTTAGAATCATCCCAGAATTCCTTTCCAGGAATCAAGGCATTCATTACTGGAGAATGAATACATGAGTTGATGATACGAAGTGAAGATTTACTGAGCATTTTCTAATATAGTGGGTACAGATGATTGTTTAGTTTTTATGTTTAAAGAACAGTAAATCTTATTAAAGAATTAAAAATTAAAATAAATAATAGATTAAATACTTTTTCATAAACAATTTCCTTTGGCTTAACTTGCATGATCAATGTTTCAAAATGAGTTCGATCAATATCATCTTGGAATGACGTGAAATTAAATTCTGCAATTGAGGTATCAACAAAGCAAATTCCAAAGCTTGGAAGACTATTTTCAGTAGGACAATGTTCCTAAAATAAATATCTTATTAATAATAGTATAATATAAAATAAATGATTCAAACTTATAAGCAATCAAATTATTATCGTTGCTACCTTAATTGACATACAATATGTTGACATATCATTGGTCAATAATCCACCATCTACAACAGTACCGGCAGTAAAAATTGACGTAAGTTGACGACGAATTATTTTATCCTCCTGTAAATTATTATTTTTTTAATATACATATGTATATACACACACTATAACAATAATTTTCAGTTAATTTGCAAAAACTACCTTGGTTTTGGTAGCCTTTTCTCTCATTTCCTTGCCAAGAGCAGTTTCCATTTGATCTACTTTAGCAACTTTATGACTAGATACAAAAAAATTTTCATAATTATAAATAATGTGAGCATTAATTTATCCTCAATAAAAATTTTAAATAACTAACCTTTTAGCAATAAATTTTGCAGCCCAATGTTCAATTGATGCCTCAGGGACACCAACCATACACATATTGACACGTGTAGTTAGTTTCAAGTCAAATTCAGAATGACCTATAAGAGCATCACGTTCATATAATTCTATGGAAAGATTCGATTTAAAATATAAGTATACAAATTAATATAATCAATCAATTACAAATAATCCTCGGC